AAACTCGGTCGCATGAAGAACATTTGATGCAACGATGACATCGAAAGAGTGAGCTTCGTACCCCTGCTCCAAGGGATCTTTTTCGCAGTTGAGGAGACTGAATGTCATGCGGTTGGCATAGTCACTGAAAACTTCCCTAGCTTTCATAAAAAAGCCAGTCGATATATCCGTGAAAGTATAATGAGCAAATGCATCCCCGATTCCTGTAAAGATACCTTTGGTAGCCCCTCCAGTCCCTGCACCAATTTCCAAGACACGCATTTTTGGGTAGCGATGCCCGATCTTCTTCATTGCCGCTGTGACAAATTTGTTTGACGTGGCCATCCCAATACCTTCGGTGTATAATCTGTCAAGCAGTCCATTTGGTAACATATGTTCCAACATCGTCGTTGTACCTCTCACAACATCAGGGAGATTATTACCTACAGCTTGCATCAATTCGAGATCGACACATTCTGGATATTTGGAAGCCATAGTAATCAATTCTTGGAGATCATCGTTGTTCCACTCCGGCTTGATCGAAGGATGTGTTCCTTTGGAAACAAGATCCGTGACGTGGTTGATCCAGTTAAACAAAGGACGGTGATGGTCTGGGATATTCTCAGGCTTAATCTCAGACATCAAGTGACGCATGTAAGCGTAAGAAAGTCTTTCGCCCAAATCGATCAAGTGAAGTGCTTTTGGATCATCATCTTCAATATCGACTTCGGAAATGATGCCTCCCGAGATATCAGCCGCCCACAGCGTTTCAAGGTATAATTGTCGATCTTGAGACGGTCTTGCTGCCGTAAACGATTGCATTTGCAATCCTTCGATTTGAATCTCGATTTCGTTGGTCAGTGGATCAAAAACATCAACGTCGCCAACATAAGTGGCTGCATCATTAGCAGTAGTGGGGGTAACTTCGGTAATATATCCATCCATTCCAGCCAGGGCTGTCTCCTTCTCGAATGCTGCTTCGCAAAGCGCAATGTTGAAGCTCATCTTGGCGATTCTTCTTGGCAAATATGGTGTCCAGAAGCGCTCATCACCAGGACTGGCAAATGCTGCTAATGTTGCATGTAATGTCATATCCAAAAACGCCGGATGTACCAATAATCCTGTATCAGATAAACATCTTCTACCTTCGAGCGAAGAGATATGCATTCGGCGTTGACCTTTTTCAATGCCTCGGAAGATTCCAGTGAACTCAAGACCAACATTAGCCAGGCTGTCATAGAATCGATCCACGTTAAGTGGGCCAAGCACTGGTCGTACGGGCGAGCGAATAGACATCGCGTCAGGAGATGGAGTTCCGAGTGTCATTTCAATACGACCCGAGAAAATCATTGACATTGGTTTGCCACTTGGCGCAGCAGTACACCAGAAATCTGCGCAAACAATCTCATCACTACCACTAGCACTTGAAGATCTAGGTTTGAGTGCAAACATAACCTCGACTGCTGCATTGTTTTCCTCGAGATTGATGGCTCTCTCAATGTCAACTTGATGCAGCTCTACCAGACGGATTGGTTTGCCATTAGCAAGCACCTTTGAAGATTCTAACGCCATTGAGCAGTAGAATGCGGCGGGGACCAAGGTTTGGCGTTGGAATTTGTGCCCAGAAACCCATGGCAGCTCGTCGAGCTTAAATATGTTTCGCCAGCGATACTCCATATCTGTGTCATCAGCGCACCTGACGCCCAAGAGTTCGTGGGGTGGGTCGACTCTGTTACGATAATTGCGAGAAATTCGAGATTCGAACCAGAAAGTACGGCTATGATCCCATGAATAGGTTGGTAATCCCTTCAAAAGTTTAGGGGTTGTCACCACACCACCTGAAATAGCATCAAGGTATTTCTTGAAACTTATTCTTTTTCCATTGATGTGATTCAGCAGGAACCCCAGTGCGTTGGCAAATGCAATCGAATCATTCTCTCCACGAGATAGCACCCCAGTATATGGCACAACCGCATTGACGGCATGCTTAAATGTTTGTGCCACTGGTCCTTTAAGTGCGGGATGTGGCCCCACTTCAACTGCAGCATCGAATGAACCAAATTCTTTTGCAGCTATGCTGACGGCCTCGAAAAATCTGACGGGTGAGACGAGATTGTCTAGCCAGTATTGTGTCTCAAGTTCGGAAGATTCACTGGACATATTTTTTAAGTGTACACTTGAAGTCCACGTACAATCTGGTAAGCTGGGCTTGGGAGATATTTTGCAGGCAGCAAGAGATCTTGTGTATGGTTCTGAGCAGGGTAACATGTGATCGGAATGATACGCAGTATCAACTTTGAGAACCCGGGCAAAAACGCCTCTATCGTCAAGTGTCGACTTTGCTTTTTCGATAGCATCTTTGTTGCCACTGAGAGTGACTGTCTTTGGAGCATTACTAGCCGCAATGGAAATTTTGCCTTGGTATTCTTCACCAGCGCAGAACTCAAGAGCCTCGTCAAAGCTCAATCCTGCCGCCATCATCGAGCCTTCTTCTCCACCCTTACCTTTTGCAAGGTGCGCATGAAGGCCACGATAGTAAGCGATACGAATGGCATCACCAGCCGTCAACCTACCTGCAGCATAAGCAGCACCAATTTCTCCAGATGAATGCCCGACTACAGCAGAGAATGTGACCCCAATCAGCTTCAACAAATCTACAAGAGCAATCTGTAGGGCTGTGCAAAGAGGTTGCGAAAACTCAGCTTTTTCAATGGAGGATTTTCCGACTGACGCGACAATTTCTTCTTTCAATGACCATTTCGGAGCATCTGGAAGCTCACGAAGTGATTTCTCAAGGGAATCAATTGTCTGAGAGAATGTGGGTATATTGGCGATCAGCATTTTTCCCATTGCCGGCCATTGTGCACCTTGACCCGTGAAGACACCAAGAATCTTCCTTGATGATTTGTCATTTACATTCGTCGACCGAATGCCAATAGCTAGATTAGGGTTCTCTTCTTTTGCTATTATGACTTTCTCAAGCTGATCTAACAAATCTTCGGTGTTCGATGCTACAAATGTAGCTTTGGTTGGGAAGTTACTTCGGCCCAGTAGAGAATACCCCAAGTCTATTAGATTGACTCCTTCATGCTCTTCAATATAATCGCTAAAGTTCGTGATGTTCTGAATTAAACAGTCCTCGGAAATAGCAGATATCGTGAATGGGATGAGTGCTGTTGATTCCAAGCCTGGTGTAGGTGTACAAACCTCGTAGCTTTCGAGAATAGCATGTGCATTGGTACCACCGAAACCAAATGAATTAACGCTGGCACGGAGAGGTCCCTCAACCGCTGGCCATGGTAATGGAGCCGTGGGAACATTCAAATTCCCATAGAAAGGTTCGATTGCCGAGTTGAGACTTTGAAAATGCAGATTGGGTGGGATAGTTTTCTCTTTCATTGCCAATCCGGCTTTTATGATACCTGCTAGTCCTGCTGCACCTTCTAGATGGCCAATCACTGTTTTGATGGAGCCAACGTGAAGGGGCTCTGAATTGGGGATGTCTGATCTTTGTGGAAAGAAAGCACTGCTAATTGCTTCCGCTTCAACTGGATCTCCTGCTGGTGTTCCGGTGCCGTGAGCTTCGAAGTACTGACATCTTTCTGAAGGCTTTGTACAGTCGAGTCCAGCTCGAGCATATGTTTGACGAATTAAATCGGCTTGAGATGCAGCAAGTGGCATGGTGATACCTTTCGACTTACCATCCGAATTTACACCAGTCTAGTCATAACGAATTAGCCATCGAGACATTAAAAACGGAAACAAAATTATGTACCTCGCGAATTATATATTCAATGTCATCTCCATCTTCCAAAGCATTCTTCAAAGTCTTCAAAACAATTGCCGCGGTCCCCTCACCACGTGCATATCCATCAGCTCTTGAGTCCCACATCTGAGATCTCCCCGTCGGCGAAAGCATATGGAGATTTGACTCTCCAATATACATTTCTGGACCAAAGATTAAGTTTGCACCAGCGGCTATAGCAGTTCGACTTTGTCCACTTCTAAGTGTCGAAATGGCATTATGAACGGCAACCAAACTTGATGAGCATGCAGTGTCAATTGTCATCGAGGGTCCTTTCCAATCGAAGAAATAAGAAATCCTATTCGACATGATACTGCGTGCTGTTCCTGTTGCTAGATATTGCGGAATATCTTCAATGTCTCGCATTAGAACATCAAAATAGTCGGCGCACATGAGTCCTACGTATACTGCAGTAGAAGTGCCTTGCATTTCTTCGATCGACAATCCTGCAGCTTCTAGAGCCTCATAGACGGTCTCCAAAAGTAGTCGTTGTTGTGGATCAAGGGCTTCTGCTTCTCTTGGATTGATATTAAAAAACGGAGCATCAAATGTCGTTGGGTCTTCATTAAGAAAATATGATTTGGTGGCGTTGGTGGTTCCATGGTGTTCACCATTGGGATGATAGAAGGCCTTGATGTTGAATCGTGAGGATGGAACCTTTTGAGTCAAATCGTATGGATGATGGAGAAGGTTCCATAGTTTAGAGGGTGAAGAGGCGCCACCTGGGAAACGACAGCCTGTGCCTATGACGGCTATAGGTTCGTTTGGGACGACCATGATGCAACGATTAAACACAACTCTGAAGGGGAAAAAGGGCAGTCTGGGTATTGGTAAATGGAAACGGTTGTAGTGGATGTAGTTGATACGATTGCAGTTGGAACGATTCCAGATGAAAGATGTAATATCTTGAAAATGTGGTGTATCAGTAGTTGATATGATATGCTTCATTGATGAAGCTTTACAATGCATAACACGTGGGTTCGGGGGTACATTGTCATGTGTTCTGACTTGACTACTCCACTCACGGGATCCGAGTAGGTCACTGCGGCTCCCATGAAATCACTACCGACTTACAGCTCAAGCAAATTCAAAAGCAGCTGCTGCGCCATTTCTTCTCTTTCACTGAGAGAATCGATGTATATCGACAACATTGAGACTTTTTTGATTTGTTTACTACAGAGAGAATTTTAAGTGTACTCGTTTTACAATCTCAGTCATGCAAGCAGTAATTCAAACCGGACCTGGAACGCTCCAGCTGACTGAGAACGTACCCAAGCCATCAGTAGAGCCAGGATCGAGAAAAGTCTTGGTGAAGGTACATGCTGTAGCTCTCAATCATAGTGACTGGAAAATGGTTGATTTCTCGGCCAAACCTGGAGCTATCAGCGGATACGACATGGCTGGTGTTCTGGAAGCTATCGACGATTCCATGAACTCGGATCTAGTTGCTGGAGATCGAGTACTAGGCGTCACGAGCATTCACGGAGGCGCATTTGCGGAGTACGTCGTTACAGACGGAGACCTGCTAGTCAAAATCCCCGAAAACATGGATTTTCAACATGCAGCAAGCTACGGTGTGGGAATAGTCACAACTGGTTTGGCATTATACGGAAACGAGTGTTTGGCATTGAATTGGCCAAATACAGATGGGACAAGCAGTGCAGCGCCTCAGAAAACTCGCGTCGGACCCCGAGGGTGGAGTGGTGGAGACGCGCTCACAGATAACGATAACGAAACACCGCGCATTCCGGTACTTGTCTACGGGGCGTCAACTTCCACCGGGACTTTGGCTATTCAATTATTACAACTGTCTGGGTATGAACCGATTGCTGTATGTTCGCCTCATAATTTCGGACTTGTACAATCGAGAGGAGCATCGAAATGCTTTGATTATCATTCGCAGGGATGCGGGGCTATGATTAAACAGTATACCCATAATAGATTGGAATACGCACTTGATTGTATTACCACGGCATCTTCAATGCGTCTTTGCTACGAGGCGATAGGTGCTACTGGTGGAAAGTACGTATCGTTAGATCCATTCAATGCAAGGGTACAACGGTCACGTGCGGATGTCAAACCATTTTTTTGCTACGCGCTAACAATATTTGGTTTACCTATTGAACTCAGTGGAGAATTTGCTCGAGATGCAAAACCTGAAGATAGGAAGCTGGCGGAAAAATTTGTAAAAATTGCTGAAAAGTTGATCGAGAAGGGAAGGTTGAAGGCCCATCCTACGATGCTAAAATCGGGGGGCTTGGGTGGAATTGCGGGTTCAATAGATCTCTTGAGGAAAGGAAAAGTATCTGGGAGCAAATTAGTGTTTGATGTTGTTGGTAATTGAAATGTTTTGAAGTTAGGCTCAATTTTTCATAGAGTCTACCATTGGAAAGTTTTCTAGCCCAGAGCTGCGCGTGCCATTCAGGGATCTCGTGTTGATATTTTCCCGTTTGATTTTTGAAACCTAAAGATGCCGATACACCTCGAAAGGAATAGATCCTACTCGATTTCGCGGGAGAATGCCAGAGCTATTTCAGACTTGACCACAAGATTTCCACTCCAACCACGTCAAACTGCCCTTTACTGTTCCGTGAGCTAGTACTTTTCGTCCAAACATATTAAAGCAAGACTCCAATTGATTTTCGCTTCATTATAAAATTCACGGAACCAATTAAATTCAATCACAGTTGTTCTATTAGACTACTCAGAATACTATCTACAACGCTCTTTAATTTGAATCTGTGCCGTTGGGTCTACAACGAGACTCATATCACTCTTTAAATTCTTTGGCCTTTCAGTTCCAGGGAGTAGCTGAAAATCATAATTCCGCAGAAGTTCGATCAGCATCGTCTTAATCTCATTGCTGGCAAAAAAGCGGCCTGGACAACTGTGAGTTCCGTGTCCAAAAGCCAGACTATCCTTTCCTGTGGTCACTAGTTGGAATTTGTTTTCCGCGCCTTCTTGCTGTCTGAGCTTCTCGAATCGAAAACCGTCGAATTCGTCGGGATTTTCGAAGATTCTGGGATCAAAACCGATGGAGCCGGCTGCCATACCAACGAAAGATCCTTTTGGTAAGATTGTACCATCTGATAGCTGTACTGTGTCCATCATCTTTCTGTTCATGGTGACTACCATTTAAAGTTTTAGTGATTCATCTGAGAGAAAATTGAGATTGAGCTTCATACCTAGATTCAATGGGTTCATTCTCTGACTTTCCTTCAAGAACGAATCCATTTTTCGCAGTTTGGTGAGTATTTGTTTGGTGATTTGAGTATTTTCGGGAAGATTAGCGGCTATCTCTTCGCGGAGAGCTTCAATGTATTTTGGTCGTGCTGCAAGGTCAAGAATCGCATTACCTAACTGTTCGAGAGTTTAGTTCAGACTCATGTCAGCCGTCTAGATTTGCGAAAGTATTTACTCACCAGTCCAGACGTAGTATGCAAGGCTGCAAATGCTGTTCCAAAATGGTGAGTCTTGCATCATAAATTGCGGGAGAGTTGTAGAGAATACCCACATATCAACTGGAGTGCGGTCAGTACGTCATTTTCAAAGTTTTGTAACGATCAACTCACGAGTTGGCATCGACCTTGGAAGGTCGCATCTTTAGCATTGTTTCCCGAGTTATCGATCATCCATTGAATCATATCTTGTGGTTTCTCAAAATCATCCCGCTCCATCTCCTTGAATCTTTGATTGAAGATTGGCCGCAGGAATTCTGCCGCATCGGTATAGTGTTGGCGAACTTTCTTTAATTCTGGCGAATAAAGAGCATATATTGGTCTAAAAAGTGGGTGTCGTGCCCAGACCGCTCGACCCCCCAAGAAGGTGTCACGAGTATATGTAGTCGATATTTGAATCCATTTTTCATTCCTGCATAACGGCTCGCCTACCATCACTCGTCCACTGACCTTTGCCACCATTCTTAATATGATGGGATATAATGTCACTGACATCCAGTCCTTGGGCTTCGGCAATTCAGTTGCAAAAGCGAGCTCTGTCTCAGCTTGCATGTTCTCCAATGCACGCGCGATGCTCTGTGTGAGGTCAACCTTGACACTTGTTGTGACTGCATCTCCTTCGGTATTGTTTGCAAACGCCGTATAATGCCCAAAGTATCTATCTCTGAATTCTTCGAGAAATGAGATCTTGTCTGGGGGTAAAGATTTGATCTCATCAATGTACTTGATGGGTAAGATGATTGTAGGATGAGCCGCTGTTGGCAGTAAAAATGGCGTGTTTGGGCACTATTTACGTCAGTAATTTTCTGTCTTCGCTAATTTTCACGAACAGTTCATACCTGGTTGTACCCGTTGATCAGAGCAGAGCGAAGATCACTCGCATCGCCTATAACTGGAGCATCGAAATTCAATTTCTTTGAATTGAGGAATTGGAATAGGTAATACAATGCGAAGACAATGCAACCCGCAATCACAGTATTGGAATTTGCCAATGATATTGCCCCCAGATCTGCAAAGTGTATCATTTTGAACAGACTCTTTTGTCAAGTTCAGAAGATGGAAAATCGTACAACAAAAAGAATTGTCAGTCAAGTCAATTGCACATTGGCTACAAGTGTATACATCTGGATTTCAAAGCAAGCTCAAGCCATAGAAGAAGAAAGATCTGGGCTATGCCGCCTTTCGCGGTTTGCGGTCACACATACCGAAGTTCTGGCGGAATGTGTCGGCACCCGGATGTGGTTCGTGATCAGCCCCATAATTTCATCGTCCAATAATATGTATCGTATTTCTTTTCGGAGGCCGTTAACGAACATATCCAGAACACTAAATTGAATCGTTTAACCTTTACCACATCATCCATGAGCAGACACCCAATTCAAACTTGCGGTAAATCGTGCTAAACATTTCAAGATGTTTGCAGTTGAATTGCTCGAGCGACTCGGTTTGCCAACTATCTATCTTTGGATTGGATTTGTTTTGGTAGTCGTAAGAATCCCAGATATATCCTCTGTAAATTCAATGCTAACAACTTCGCCTTTAGCTTCTAGCATACCCTACATATTTTGCAATTTACAACCTATACTTTCACCCATTGAGAAAGTTTCCAGGGCCACTTATAGCCAGATCATCATACATCTGGTACGCCAAGAATTGGTAAGCCATATAACACTTGCAAGTCTCAGAATCACAATGAAATCATCTAATCAAACAAATGCAGGATTGGAGGAAGATGGCCTCATGCATTATCTGATCTTCATGAGAAGTATGGTTAGTTCACATTTCCACAATCACAACATGAGATTCATAACTCACAAGCCTCAGGTCAAGTTGTTCGAATAGCCCCTGATGAGCTTGCATTCAGCTCAGCTCAGTCTTGGAGAGATATTTATGGACATTCAGTGAAGGGCAAGAAGTACTTCAGAAAGACCGACTGGTATGCAGGTGTTGGTGATCTACCAAACTCCATCTCAACAGAGCCAGATCCGCAAAAGCACAGTGCCATGCGCAGAGTATTAGCCAACGCATTTAGCAATTCTGTTCTCAAGGGCCAGGCAGATGTCATCAATAAATATTTGGACATGTTCGTCAGTCAGATCAAGAAACATGACAATCCAAATGGTATTCCAGTCGAAGAATGGTTCAACTGGCTGACATTCGATATTGTAAGCATTTATGTAAAGTGATGGCGATGTAGTGTCGATGTTAATGAAACTATTCATAGATCGGGGATCTTACTTTTCATGAATCTTTTGGTGCAGTCGAAAATGGTAAGCTATCACACATGCCCCTCTTCCATGAATTCATTATGCTAATATCTCCCTAGCCCGAACACATTTTTGGATTCACTTGATCATCAACGGTAATTTCATTCGAAGTCTCTATCCAATCTTCCAGAAGATCCCGATCAGCAGACTCTTCATGAAATGGATTATTCCAAACATGGATGAGATCCGTCAGCAGCGACGGGAACACATTGCCCATACGAACTCTAAAGCCATGAAACGGGCCAATCGTGATGACATTGTTCAAAAGGATTTTTTCAGCTTCTTACTTGGTAAAGAGGGAGCGGATACTTCGGAAATGTTCTTGACTGCGCAGGCCCACACTCTCATTATCGCTGGATCTGAGACTACAGCTGTCACGCTGACAGCTATGGTATCATTCTTACTTCGTTATCCGGACAAAATGAAGATTCTCATTGACGAAGTGCGTGGCACATTTACTGACAAATCTCAAATTAATGTTGAAGGAACTCTACCCCTAGAATACCTCTTCGCCGTGATCGAGGAAACACTACGCATTCTCCCTCCAGTGCCATTTGGCCTTCCTCGTACGTGCCCTGGAGCAGTCATTGACGGCCATGTGGTTCCAGAAGGGACCATCGTTTCCGTCTCTCCATATACAGCATCTCACGATGTAAGGTATTGGCATGATCCTGAGGGATGGCATCCCGAGCGATGGCTCCCTTCTGACCATCCTCTTCATAATCCCGTATTCGATCAAGATAATAAAGAGGCAAGCAAACCATTTAGTACTGGACCTCGTGTTTGCTTGGGTGTTAATTTGGCATATATTGAGCTAAGGATGACACTCGCGAGGCTATTGTTTGAATTCGATATGGAGTTGCTTAGTAAACCGGTCGATTGGAATACGGAATTGGATTTCTTTCAATTCTGGAAGAAAGTTGAGACGAGAGTAAAGTTCACCAGTCTTCATTGATAGATGTGCGTGAAGCGGAATGTAGAAACAATGATCGATCGAATTTGAGAGTTGAAGTCATCACCGTTAAACCAAAACTCTTGTTTACAATGTCGATGGACTGTTGTGAAATGTAGCGCTTCGATGATTCCTAGATAGGATATGCGTAAACCATGAAGACAAACCCTTTTATGATAGATAGCCAGTTAGCTGTAATCAAAAATTATATCAAGTTCATGGCCACTTGTTCCTTGATCTTGAGAGCCAACATGTACATATCAAATGGTCTTCGCTGAGCGAGACTCTTGTGAATATAACCGAAATGAGCAATAGTACAGGTGTTTCAAACACTAATCACCAGAAAATGTTACGGTTTGCAATCTCGAGTTTCGGTAACAATACATTCCAAGGCAATTTCCAACTCTCTGTTCAAAAAGCATCGAGCATCGGCGAAGCTGCAAAAAATCTGTCTATTTGCAACTTTTTAAGTCACAGAGCTCAGCTAGCAGGACTGCGCACTAATTGACATGGAAATTTCAGAGGCCACAGGACATGTGATTGCCTGTTGCATGGCTAGCCGACTGGCAAGCGTAATGCTATCTCCAGGTCCAGATATTGTAGACTGTGATTTCTGAACTCAACACTCGTCTGAGTGAATTCAGATGAGAATTTGATTGTCACAAGTAATCTTGAGGAATTTCTATGATCTTTTGCATTGAAAAATGAGAAGTATATCCTCTTGTCTAAAAAAATCAAGCAACCGACAGTACTCCTTTGAACGCAATACTCCCATTTCCTGAACAAAACCTACACAGATCTGTTCCTCTGTCTCCAGTGCTGACTATACATAGATCTTTGTGATTAAAATTCTAGAACTTTGACCTCTTTCTGTCCTATCCTCTGCTGAAGAAGTACCCAATCACGCTTGAAGTCAAGCTTGGCAATTAACGCCTTGTACTGCCAATATGGGTATGGATATCGATAGACGTGTCCTATTTTTGACTTTAAAAAACTTATATTAGCCACTAAGATACACACGTCAGACCAAGGATGTTCTCACCCTATAATAACTTTTGCAATTTGGATTCGCAGGAGGCAATTTTGCTTGCCCTGGTCTCAATGATAATGTCCAAGATCTTACGCGTTCTTCCTTTGGCATAATAGCATAACGGAAAGTGCCAACATTCTTCTGAAAGAGATATTTTGTTGCGATAGAATTGTGATGAGCTTGAAGTTCAAAAAGCTCCATGACGCTGGTTTCGAAAGATGAGCTATTCGGACCAAGAAAGTTGAAGTAATTTGGAAAATCATCAACGGCGACGCCTCGTGAAAGTTAGCAATCGGATGAGAATATATTGGTCAAAATTTCTTACCATATAAGGAAAACAGTTCTGGTTGGTATTTGTCGCATAGTAGTTGTCCTGATCGTCCTTTTGTTGGGACAGGAAGTCCAAAATCGACGGGATTGTAACCTAGTTATTTGTCAATTAATTTCGTCTCTTCCGATCGCAATATTCCTATCTCTTACCAGTACCCCAAATCAATACATCAGTTTCTCGTTCCATCTCCTCGCCTGTATCAGTATTCCTTGATTTAATGCCATTCTCGGTGAGTTCAGTCACACTGTCAGTCACAAGCTCTACGTTGTCGTTGTTAAATATCGGATAATAGTCACTGAGCATCAATGGACGTTTGCATCCAAAAACATCTTTAGACTCAAGTTTCCGTCTTAAAGTGTCATCCTTTATCTGTTTGTATAGGTGGTTCCTCGTCATCGAGATGACTATTCTTTGGAGCCATGATCCTACAGTAAATAGACGCGGACGTAATATTTCATCCTGTTGGTGAGTTTAATACAGGACACCAAAGTTTGCAAATTTGATCAAGTAGCATACCTTTTTCATCCAGAACCACCGATTAAACCGCATCAGAAATGGTATATGAGCAAACATCCATTTTGTTAACGACCCGACAACAACATCGTTACGAGGCAAGACATGTCCCGGACTTCTTTGATAAACTATCAAAGACTTTACCTCAGGGTAAATGTTTGGAATAAATTGACAGGCAGATGGTCCTGTTCCAATTACAGCAACGGTCTTTCCCTTGAGATTGGCATTTTTTGGCCAGTCCACACTATGCCACTCCTCCCCTTTGAAAGCATCGACATTTTTCACAGGTGCCTTCTTGGGCACTGTAAATGCTCCTAAAGCGCCGATAAGCTGATTTCTAAATTAGAAGATATACAAAACAATATGAGGGGCTCACTACGTACTACATGGCAGCTCCAGAGTTTTGTATCTCCCGTGGTAAGATCGGTAGTCTCGACAAGCCACAACAAACGCGAATCATCCCACTTGGCCTCTACAATCTCTGTGTTGAAAGTTGTGGACTTATGTAATTCATATTGTAATGCTACGTCCTCAAAGTATTTTTGGATCTCGGGCTGGGGTGCAAAAGTTCTACTCCAGTCTATTTAGAGTTAGTTCTGAGATTTTTTAGAATAGACCGATAAAAAGACTTAATCTATCATTGTCTTCTTCTGTTAGAGATAAAGTCACATGTGTGAAAATACTGACAAGGATTAAGAGCAAAACTTATTTGATACTCGTGACTTGGAATATCACACGCAGCTCCGGGATAAGTGTTCTTCCACCAGACTCCCCCAAACGCACTTTGTCTTTCTAATATCTGAAATTCTTCAAGAGGAAGCGTTTTTTTCACGTATGAATGTACAACCTTGAATAATTCCTGCAGCACCTGCTCCAAGAATAATGGCAAATCGATGTTCATCTGCTTGTACAGTCTCGATTGGCATTTTTTCGCTTGACATTTCGACTTTGAATAGAATAAATGATAACACAAACCCATATTTGCTTTAGCATATACATATCGAGTTTCCTGTAGTATCAGACTAGGGTCTTCACACGGTCCGTGTACTTCGGATGCCGAGAATATATTCCGTGGGAACGATTACGAGACCGAAAGCTGGGATCATCACATGATCATACCCTTGTCATTTTGATTCAAAAACTACCTGACTACTATGTCTAGACTGCACAATCGATACCCGCGGCGGGTAATGTTCCTTGGGGAGAACTCGCAGAGCGGATTATTGTAGATTAACCGTAAGAGAGAATATTTCTTGGCTAGCTCCATAATTCTGACTCTAAGTTCCCGTCTTGACATTAGCTCTAGCTAGAGGAAGCACTAATCAAAGTCTTGAGGCCATCTTCTACCGTAAGAGGGATTATTTCTGGGAACAATTCGTTAAGATACACGGAATCCGGAGCTTTAGGGTCGAAACTAAATGTTCCTGATTCAAACCAGTCTCCATGCTCTTTCAGCGAGGCCGAGTATGCAGCCCTATGAGCCGGTGCTTCGATGACCTGCCCACTAAGAATTTTAGAGGGTTCATCAGTGATTGTCCATTTATCACCTGTACATGCAGACTCAAGTTAGCAATGCTTCAGTTCAACATTAGATGTTGGGAAGGTTCGAAGGCATGTAAAATCGTAATCATACCAGTAATTTTCCCTGCTATATCTATCACATCATGCCAGGACTGTCGATCCCCAACAATAAAACTTCTATTCTCCCACTTCGGTAAGGAAAGACTAGCAACGACAAAGCGGCCCACGTCTCTTGTATGGGTCATAACCAAAGGTACTGTCCCTGATCCAATACCTACCGAGGTTCTGCTGGGAATGTCGAAGAATCTTATTCCAGCTGCAAGATGACTTGGCACCGCGGGCATGCACAAATAATCTAAGAAGAGACCATTGACGAATGAAGTATATTCGAGGTGAGTTTTGGCAAGCTCTTTCACGGCAACTGCTTTGAGGCCAGTGCTTGGGCGAGCGAGCGCATGTCTAATGAAATGGTTAGATGCGTCGATTTGTCAAGTCCGTAAGGACGAAGATCCAGACATGGAACTGAATGGGATACATCGGATCTCACTCACTTTTCTTCATAAGCACTTCCATACTCACTAGGCACGAATCGCTTCACAGACTGGGAACCAGCAGCACCTCGTACAAGGTTCAACTGTGAGTCGCTGTGCTCTTTTGAAACAATACACAAAGCCGAAATAACCGTATGAATATTATGTTCATCGAATATCTTTGAGATTTGTGAGACATCGGAATAATCAATCGAAACAACCTTTACGTTGTTTTTTGCTGCATATTCGGGTGATTCCTATGCTCAAACGTTATTTTTTGTTCATTCAATCAATATTCCGGAGAGAATTTGGGATAAATTACTGTTCTACTCAAAACAATGAATTCGTGTTCTGTTTGTGCTTTGAGAGCGTCAACGATAGCGTAACCAACTCCACCAGTTCCGCCTGCGACTGCCGCTCTGACCATGATGTGAGATTTGAGCTTTTATATGGATGTGATAGATATTTTAGCGACAATGTAGTAATTAAGCAGGTATCATACTTTGTAAGTTGGGCAATATTCACAGAATGAACAGTTTTAATGGTGACAATTCAAAAGATTGTCTCAGTCTATCGTAACATAAATATTACAATTTATCTCTCTAGGTAGTCACATCCATACCCTTTTTCTTTTCCACTTGTGTCACCTCTTTCATCCCTCGTTACTCTCCGGAAACGTTTGTGCATTATGTCTTCTGTCTTTCGGTAGCCGAGCCGACCCTCCGAAAGTCCGCAGATATCTATGGATATGCTTCTTGATATTTTACATCGGTTCTGATGTCATTAACAATAAAATCATCGTGTAGTTATTCAATTATAGACAGAACATAAAGATTCATTTAGATCGAGACTTATATCAATATTGATATAGCATAACGTGATTAGTTGGTAGATCTGCTATATCAATAGATTGACTACAATTGTCCAGGAAAAGAAGGTGGTAAAGTTGATTACAATTCGCAGTGTGGCCCCCATGAAGATCGCTGAAGACGGGCCCATTCAGTCCATGAGATATTTTCCGAATTGCGATCGCGGTCGTCGATGACAGAAGCGTAGATGGCTCTACGAATTTCAACAGGCATCGATGTTAGTGCTCTCACGCTGTAGATCACAGTCGTCGATCATAATTCCTGGATGATCTGTAGCGATGCAAGTTTTGACGAAAGAATCCGAAGATTTAAGAATAGACGATTTAAACAATATCTCATGAACTTTAGGATTACCTATCTAATTATCAACACCAAAAACTAGCCCCTTCAATGAACAAACGGGGTACTACTGACGGCGGCGTTAACATTTGTGCAGAAATGTGGTAACCTCTTCACAGACCATTCTCAACGAGAAGAACAGCAGATTTACATATTTTTGTTATCAAGCATTCAAATCGTTGTTTTTTTGCCTCTTCCGAGGTATGAGGAGAGGTGTTTTGAGAAGTATGAAAGGGCTTTTAGGCGGAGGTAAAGTGTGTGTCTCACTTTTCACTGGAAAATTATTGGCCTTCTTTCGATGACTTTTTACTTGATCAGCAATTCCAAAAATTCCGCCTTTATTTCCTTTGCAGGAGGCCTGTGTTGTGTGTATCAGCAAAACGCACCCGTATGTTATGTCAAGCTCTCGTATACTAGAGTAACACTTGTGTAAACTTACAACTTTAATGCGATGGCGGAGTGAAACTACTGAAGTGCGGGGTTCGCGGGGTTCCTGCTTTCTGAGCTGCTTAGTAATCCCTGCAACGGAGCGAAACAGTGCCCGTGCATATCTTGGTAAACTGCCATTAGGCATCAAGATGACGATTCTTTGCAAAGAAAGTATGTCTGTTTCATAGTATGAAGGTTAAGACGAAGATGATTCAAAAATCTAATTTGAATAAAACATCCACTTTCGATCCATCAAATCTTAATTCCGCCTTGTCACTACCATCATGCCTATACCTGCCACCTTCCATAATGGCAAGAAGACGTTCACGGTTCTAGGTAAGACTGAATCGCATCTTACGAACCACAAAACTCACTTGCTTATTCGTCCATTGTAGAAAATAATCCCGAAGTCATGAATGCGCTAGCTAAGAAGCTTGGTCTTTCCCCCGATCTCGCATTCTACGATGTCTACTCTCTCAGCGACCCAAGTCTTTTGTCCATAATCCCCCGTCCAGTCCATGCCCTCCTAGTCATCCTCCCGCTCACTCATTCCTGGAAAACATCTCGTCTAGCTGAAGACACCCCACTATCTGTCTACGAGGGGTCTGGCCGCGACGAGGCCGTAATCTGGTTCAAGCAAACGATTGGACACGCATGCGGTTCTATCGGGCTTCTTCACTGTCTTGTTAACGGGCCTACGAAAGAATTCATTCTACCAGATACAACTTTGTTTCGACTAAGGGAGCAGGCTCTTCCACTAAAGCTGGAAGAACGGGCGAGGATACTGTACGATGATAAGGAGTTCGAGGATGCGCATCAGAGTGTTGCAGAAATGGGCGACACAGCGGCACCCAGTGCTTCAGAGGGGGACAGATTAGGACAGCATTTTGTGGCATTTGTGAAAGGGGACGATGGTCATTTGTGGGAGTTGGAAGGCAGCAGAAAAGGGCCGCTCGATCGAGGCTTGTTGGCCGACGACGAGGATGTGTTGAGCGAGATTGCGATAGCAAAGGGTATAGGCAGAGTGATGAGGATGGAAGAAGAAGCCGGTGGCGGAGATTTGAGGTTTAGTTGTATCGCGCTTGCAAAAGCAGACTGACGGAGTATGGGGAAATTGGGATATGTTTGCGGGAAGGAAGCCTATCATGGCGCCAGCGATTATATTCCCAGGACGGACAAGGCAAGGGCGAAACCCCCGGCTGGATCCTGTTCCTTCACTTTCCCATCTTGAATCTCGACTTCATGAGAACCATCTGGAGCTTGACCCCAGTCACCAAAACTTCCCTCGAAACTTTGCGGGAAGAAATCATCTCACTTGAGGGTTTGAGGGTGTGAAATTCTATAATAGGTAACGTAACGTATGGGGAACTCGGACATATGGGGAACTCGGACATATGGGGAACTCGGACATATGGGGAACTCGGACACTTTTTCAATTATTCTACACGCGATCTTGTTCTACGAGCCACACAATCCTCCAATTCCAATTCCGAATCACTTGAACTATTCTCTAGCTCTTCTTCTTCAATCTCTTCTTCTGATTCTTCAATTGGGCGTTTGCGTGGCCGTCCTCGTGGCTTTTTCTCCTTCGGTTTTTCCTCCGCCTCACGTACCATTTTCAATACTTCCTTAGTACTAAAGACAAATTGACCTTGTAATTTGACTCTTTTGCCTTTAGTTCTTTTCTTTCGAGTCTCAATTACCTCCTGAGCATCAGAGAGCTGTTTCCGAAGTAGGGCTATCTCAGCATTTTGAGATTCTACAAGCCTAGTCATTCTCTTGGCATATCGACGAGTTGGCGATGCAGGAGAACCACTGCTTGCTAGAGCTGTATTAAAGATCTGATTTGCTTGCCTTAGTTCTGTTCCATCTGGAGGAGAACTCCTGAGTATAGACAAGTCTAGGTCTTGATTGGGGGTTCTCATTTGTGGAGTAGAAGGTTGCTGGGAGGAGTTAAATGGTAATGAATCGAGTACTTTTCGTGGGGCAAAAGGTACTAAACCAGCTCCTCTCCAGCCAGCTTTAATATTAGAAGAATTCAATGCTTTTTTTCTAATATTTTGAAAGAGTTCTACCCATTCAGCTCTTTGGATTCGCTTTACACCAGCTCGAGAATATCGATCGACCTCTAAAGCATGATATCGTTTCATTGGCCCATACACCGCAATATCAAGTGGCTGAAGCAAGTGAGAGCAATGAGGAGGTAATATAAGTAAATCAATATCATTATCTATACAGAAAGCAATAAAGCTACCTGTAATATGGCTTGAATGGCCATCCATGATCAAAAGTCGAGGTCGGTCACCTGACACTTTCTTGGATTCTGGTTCGAAAACCCTTTTTAACCATTCTAATCCATGGCTATTTGAGGTCCATCCATTTGTACTAGTAGAGAACTGCCAGCTTTGAGGTGTGTCCTTTGGAATCCATGCAGAATTCGTATTCTGAGCCTTGAAAATGACCATAGGTGATAGAGCATTTCCAGCTGCATTGACACATTCAAATGCAGTTATCCATTCTTGCTTGCCAGCTGTAACTTTCCAATTCGATTTCTGAGTAGAATCGACTATAATGCGCGTACTTTGAGTACTTCCAACTCCAAATCCGGTTTCATCCATATTATACATATCATCTAATTCATACTTTCGCTCAATGAGACGCGTGCGAAACGCGTCAAACCAAGCCTGAATATTCTCCGGAGTTGCTTCTTTAGCCCGATTAGACTCTAATTGACGTGAATAGCATGTTTTAAGTTCTGGATGTCGTTTTTGGAATCTATAGATCCATTCGTGGCCTATAGGTGGAATTTCTGTCGAGGTAGGATTTCGAGATGACGCGACCCGAACGCGTCGAAGACGAATTTCGTCGGCCATTTCCTTCACCAACATAGGTGTAGCAGGGAATCCAGTGATGGTAAGTCGTGAAATCCATCGTACAAGAGTATTTTCTTCTGCGTTTGAAAGAATTTGAGCCATTTCGTGGGTTTGGGAACGTGTTTTCTTCCCAGCCAGCCTATCAGCTAGGGTAGACTTAGGGACTTCAAAATGCTCTGCAGCCTTTCTAATTGATTTAAATTCTTTCAATTGAAGTGAAATTATAGCCTTTTGAAGCTTCTCTTCAATTTGAGCAGATGTAGAAGGTGATTGGGTATGCATAATAAAAGTTATTGCGGTTTCAAGTTGGTGATGGGCTAAAAGTGTCCGAGTTCCCCATATGTCCGAGTTCCCCATACGTTACGTTATAGTAAATCAATTACTAATATCTTATTAACAAGCTCTATTATAATTATATAATATATAAATAATATAATTTCATTATATTATTATATTATATAATTATGTTTCTTATCAGAATGATTTATAATTCTTGGAGGTTAGTTCTAGAATATAGTAATAATATTGATATTCATGCCGCTAGATCTGCAAGCGCTTTAGAAGCCACAATGATTCTTGTCACCTCCATATGCCAAACCAATCATATGCAGGTGACATCTAAAGGTTGATACCAAACCCATCTCAAACGGCTAGATGCATCGAGACTGTAACGTGTCTTTTTGGATGAACACCACTATGTCACCAAATACAGCGCGCCGACGTTTCAAAGCTTCCAGCGACAAGTAAGGATGCTGTGCCTTTTCTACATCACTGGTTAACTGTACCAAAGTAAAGCGAGTCTTTGCTCCGGGAAATTGATACAACGTCTTTAACTTCTCCTGACTTCGAGCCGTAGCAATAACTTTGGCACCCATGGCTAGAGCTGTAAGAACCGCACCGCCAGAGAACTTGCCTGTAGCAGGCGGAACAATAACCATACTGCCTCGCTTAACATCTGAAGCCTCAAGGCCTCCATGCCCAACAAGGTACAAGTGCGAAATCGTTAAGTCCTTGAGGTGATACCCTAAGCCCCCCTCGTCTCTACTGTTAAAAAGTGACTCCGACAATATGAAACAGTTCTCTGATGGTACAAATGCTCTTTCAGCATAAAACCCATTGCGCCAAACGTCATGGCTCAGCCTTTTGGGGCTGGCTGTCCTTGGAGGTTAGTTCTAGAATATAATGACAATATAAAATAAGTATTACTTGTATAGTATTGATATCTATCTATTGTTTTTTAATCGATGAATTCTTATCTATAGCACTTCCCAATGATTGATCCAAATACTTCATACAAAAGCTATTCCCAAGTGCCTTGAATAGTAGATACCGAAATTTGGCTATATAGATATCCATAGAATAATCGTGGCAAACAGATGGAGCCGTAATCTTGATTGCCAGACCTAGCCTATGCATTTAACGCAGGTGTATCTGCAAAGCATTGATCTTTCATACCATCAGGATATCGCTCACCGTGGACCTCGGCAGCATCGACCAGTTCTCTGATCTCAGCCTCCTCTTCCTTACTTAGCTCCAACTTCAGAGCACCCAAATTCTCTTCCAAGTACCTGATCTTCTTGGTGCCCGGAATAGGAAAGATATCATCCCCCTGAGCTAGTAGCCACGCCAGAGTTAGCCAGTGTAGGCAATAGTATTTCCCGTAATCCGTATACGGGCTAGATAATGGTATATATCGATTTTTCTTCGAAATATGTATGTATATAGTATAGAATTCGATATTATTGAAGATATTCAATATTATCTTAATATTGAATACTACTGATAAAATATGGGAATACGGATCTCTAATTGATATGGAATAAGCTGAAATATGTGAATTTGAGATTATTCCTAGATTTCAATGATATCAAACTATATATTTAATTGAATTATTATTAATTAACAATAAACCATTAATATTATTGAATATTTTGATTTTTTGATATCTTTAAATATGAATATTGATATTAGAATATTATTTTCACAAATTCAATTATTTTGAGAAATCTAGAAATAATTAATAAAATGGTGATTTTGTTAAATCTCTTATTATTTAATAAAATAAAATCCCTAGGTAGTTATTCTTTTTATTATTCTATTATATCTTATTTTCAATTCTTTAAAATATTTTCTACTCATGTATCTGATATTTTAAGTTTTATTGATTCTATTCTCTACGAAGATAATTCTTAATCTAATCAATTTCTATTTTCTTGCAATTTTTCTATTCTAATCGAATCTACCAAATCTTTACAAAATAACCCTTTTAATCTCAATTCTTTAATTTTATTATTATTTATATTAATATCTATATCAATATCTATATTATTACTCAATATTGAGGGTTCTAATATATTTATAAATTCTATAGTATTAATAATTTGTTATTGATAAATATAGATTTGAAAATATATGTTAAATGAGAATCCCTAAACAGTATATCTTATTACAAAGAGTAAAATAGAATGAAAATATAATTATTATAAAATTAGGTATTTTGAAATTGGTAATATTCGAATTATATTAGTATATCTTTGAAGTATACATCAAATAATTAATACTTTAGCTCGAGAAGAGCATTCTCAATATGTATAGATTATTATTGAGTAAGTTCTTATTAATGTACACAAAACTATTTCTTTTAAATATAGAAGAATAATCAATAAGGAAAAGGATTTCAGTTATTTGCCTAAATCTTATATTATTGATTCTCAAACTTTTGAGATCCTTATAGTTCGATTTTTTATTCGATATTCTTTACTACTAAATCTTTTTGAATATAATAAATTTCAAACTCTTCTTATTTATCTCAATAAATAATCGAATATTTGGGTCTCTAGTTTTTATCATACTATTTCAAGGTGAATTGCTCGCAATTTCGATGAAAACAAGCTCAAAATGAAACAAGAAATGTATTCCTCCTATAGCAAAATTTATATTATTTGCAATGCCTAAACTTCCCCTAATAGATATAATGTTTTTGGTATTAAGACTTAATTTATTAATGAGATAGACAAATTATAAACTATTATTCTTATGTTAAAAAAGATTGAAGATTATTATATTGATGAAAACCTTGTAAAACTCTTATATGATAAGATTAATGAATAAGAAATTACAAGCAAATTAGAATATTTAATAATGAATAATGTATCAAATAATAATACTTTATATATTCATTTCTTAAATTGTAGATTTTCCCCTTTTTATTCTTTTTTTGATTTTATTAATATTTTTGAATATTTCTTAGATCTTATTGACAAAAACAATATTGAATGGAATGCTATACAAAATCGAATTTGATGTAATATATATAATATCAATCTTTTTACAAAAGCGTTTTTATTTAAAGGTTCTATACTTAAAGATTAAGTTTTTGATTTAGATTACAATTTCAAAGCTCTTATATATAATACTGATTTGATCTCAAAACTTGATTACAAATATTGGAAAAAGAAAGATATAATAGGCAAATATTACAATTTTATTTTTAAAATTAGTAATTCCTCTTATTTATTGTAACAATAGAATAGATTAGTAGAAAAACGACTTGCAAAAGATAACTTAATTTGATGAAATTCTATTGATAATCTTTTTTTAATATTTCTTATACCTTAGGTATATCACACATATAAAAAGTGGTGAATTCGGTATTCAAATAAGCTTTCTATAGAGCTTGAACTGATAAATAATGATTTTGATTAATTATAAAATATTTATTATTTTTTAAATACTTTAAAAAATGTAATAAAATTTATAAAAAATAATAATACTATTTTTGAGAAAGTTCTTTTTATAATAAAGTTTTTACTATAACATTTTGAAATGGAAAGGTATGATTTATATTCTTTATTTGTATATTCTTTATTTATGTATTCTTTATTCTATACCTCTTTATTTGTTTATTCTATTTATATCTAATCTCATTTAAATTATCTATACGAGTAATCCATTTTTAGGTTTCTGTATTAATAATAGATAGGCAAAACTCGAAAAATACTATTTTTTTATTAATAGATCACTATATTATATTACTACTGTTGTATTAAATCCTATACAAAAATGGTTATATTTTAAAAAATCTTGAAAGGAATCTTATTTATTATAAATCGAAAAATAAAAAAATAATATTGAGAGATTTTGGAAAGATTAATATAAGTTAGATTTTGAAGATTTATTTCAATTAATACTTGAAGAAATCTTCTTTAATATATTAATTATATATTTATAAGTTAAAGAGGTATTTCGTTATGTAATGGATGAATATGCAAAATATCTTACTATTTCTTTTTTTGAATGTGTTCAAGATTCTTGCAAATGGTGGTTTGATTTTATATAGTAATAAATATACCCTAATTTAAGCAAAATGGTATTTGATTTGTTTAATATTTTTAGTATATTTGTTTTTGTTGAATGCTTATTTTCTTTAGTAAAGATTATTATTATTGTAAAACAAAATAAACTTCAAATTGTAATTATTAAAAGAATAGAATATTTAAAATTATAATTAGATTTGAATTTGTAAATAAAAGATAATATAGAATTCGAGAATTTAAATAAATAAAAGATAGAACTTATTTTTTTGAATAGCATTTTTTTATTATTTAAACTTTATTAAGATTAGTTTTGATTTTTAATATTATCTTAGAATTATTTTTAGGTTTTTATATTTCAGTTTTCCCATATATCTTCATAGATGTTAGTTTTGAATAATACCTACAGCAATAAATTTTCAACTATCTAATACGCACTAATTATCGTATTAAAAGCTTTATACACACCACCGTTTTATTATAGTATACTATTGCCTACACTAGAGTTAGCTGACCAGGAGTTGTATTCTTTGTCTTAGCAAGAGCTTCCATGCCCTTGACAAGCTTAAGGTTCTGTTTGAAGTTTTCAGGGGAGAAGTGAGGAGCGTAGGAACGGAAGTCGCCCTCTTCGAAATCGGCTGGTGACTTGTAGGCATCGCTGAGCATTCCACTAACAAATCATTAGAGTGATGAGGTTCAAGCAAAGAGATCGACTAACCGGCCAAGAGGAGAATACGTAACGATTGCGACTCCGAGTTCACGACAAGTCCTCAACAGATCAATTTCGGGGCGCTCAATGTCGGTGCTGAAAGGTGAGTATTCGATCTGCACGGCATCGATGTGGGCGACCTTGTTGGCTCGACGAAGTGTCTCCGAAGAAATCTCGCTAAGTCCGAGATAATTAATCTTTCCCTCCCTGTACAATGTTAGTGCCAATATTAGCAAATTATTGAAATAGGACTGACTTCTTGAGCTCGGCCATGGCCTGAACGGTCAGCTCAATTGGTGTCTTCCCGTCAACCCTGTGGCAGTAATACAAATCAATCGTATCCACGCCAAGTCGTTTCAGACTCTTGTTACAGGCTTCTTTCACATAGTTGGGACTCGAATCGATCATTGGTCCTGGCTTATCCCCTAGGTGCATAAAAGCAAACTTTGTGGCCAAAAAGACATCCTTGCGCTTGTCTGGATTCTTTGCAAACCATCTTCCTACGAGCTCTTCGCTATCTCCATAGACATCCGAGGAATCCCAGAAATTTTCGCCCAGTTCGAAGGCACGATCAAGAACTTTGAAGCGTGCCTCGTCTGGTTCAGCTTTTCCATAAGCTAACGATAAACCCATCAGTCCGAATCCAAGAGCCGGAACTTGGGGTCCATTCTTTCCGAGTTTGCGGGTGGGCAATGTAGGTGGCATCTTGACTTCGGGTTTGTGCGCAAGCAGGAATGTAATATGTTTGGCTTTTGCATCGGGGCCTTTCTGATACTTGTAGAAGTCTACGTAGAATCATACTCCTTACCCAGGCCGACTTGTAGAAGTCCCTAGGAGATAACTTCGGAAACCCGGATTTTAGGTACTTGGCGTCTGTCTAAGTAACACTTGGTCAATACGTCACTTAGAGAGTAGATCTTTTCTTTTTGGATATATTAAAGTTGAATGAAATTCATAGTAATAAATAATTAAGTAATCAATCAAGTAAACTTAGATTCTATAAAGTGTGATGAATCGTTTAAAAATTAGAATTGATTCCACCCGAGTTAATTACAATTCTCTTCTAAGTTGACCCGCCGGCTCATTTCCACGTGACTGCCGAAGGCAGGACGTAACAATTATCTCATTATATTTTAAAATAAGATTCTGCTTCTCTCAAAGTTGTATCTACACTATCCTCAAACTCCTGAATTTCAGGCACGACATCTGCTGGCAATTTTCCCATAAGAGCGTCGCAAAACTTCCCCATGGAAACGCGCAGCTGTGAAAATTCCGCAGAAACCGCTTGGCTCTTGTCCACATACTGTGCTTCGTATAGAGCGATGGTATACACGAGCGCTGCCCCCTCGACGCTGATTACAAATGATTCCATAGAGTCTGTGAGGGTAGCGCCATCGGATTCACTCAAGGTTGTTGAGTCTTGTGCTACACCATCATAGGCTTTGTCGATGCTTTCACGGAGGTTCTTTGAATAGTTCACCACGAATAGGGTGTTATTTTGAATACGTGCAGGCTATTAAAATGATGATATTAGTTGGAATAGCAAAGAATAAATTTTTCAAAAATGGCTTAAGGTGACTTACATCGTTGATGATTGTAGCAAGTTGCGACGCTGCTGTTTGCATGTTGGTGATGGAGGAGTTGATACTAGCGAGATCTGCAACAACGCGAGAAATCATAGCAATGAGAGGGAGGTATTTGAAACGCATTCTGGCGGGTATTAAAAATTTGATAGAAAGCAGTGCTTTTCTAATCAAGCAAAAGTTGTTCTTTATCGAATACTAGAGGGAGATGTTCAGAGTTTTAATCTTGTTCATATATATACACATTCTAATCCTACATTTCGACCTTTAAAAAAGTAAGACAATGTCTTTCTATATACAACAGAAAGCTGCTCTTGATCGCCGCCTACGGGAAAGAAAAAAAGGAATAACTAAATCCTTGTGTATTTTGTGATTCTACTTAAGATACTACTTATTAGTATAGTCAATCACATGGTATTGTAATAAAGTAAGGTATAAGTTCCGTGCCCTACTTTTGGGCCACTTTTCCACACCAAAAATTACTAAAAATAAACTGTAAAATTTAATTGTATTCTTTTATATAATTGTATATCAAGGTTTAAGCTTTGAAATTTTACTAATTTATCTTAAGATTTTATTTAAGATTTTAAAATTTACTGAGATTAGAAATCAGTGATTTCTTTATAAATTAATATCCACTAGTTTTTTGTATATTTTTTTCGAGTCTTATTATTATGAATATCTTAAAACCATTATAAAACTCTATAGTTTATTTTTAATAGTTTTTGTTGAAAATTTATTAATGTTTTTAATAAAGTTTCAAATTTGTATGTGATTCCTATATGTTACGGGAGCTGCCTCTAGGGTCACGTGGAAGTGTCTAGAGATCTCTCGAGGTGGTTTAGACTAGACTTCAAGTAGGAATTCAATAAGGTTGTAACTGGTTGCAATTCTCGTAACTATAGTAATGAAACTAATGATTGTTCTTGAGCACGAAGCTCTACATTGTAATGAAACCCATTCTTTTATATAGACCTTCGTTCTTTGTTGTCCTATTGATCCCATCGTGTCCCACCAGGTGGGAGCAGTGGGATCCAGTGGGAATCTCTAATCCCGTGACTTTCTGATCAGGTGACTCGGTATGTTAGATGTCGTCGTAACACTATATAAATTCGAAACTCAATATTTCAATCTTTTAAATTTCAATCAAAAGAATTACAAAAAATCTAAAACTTTCAAAACTAATGAATATCTATATAAAGATTATCTGTATAAAATTTTATAAAAATTTATTCAGTTTTGAAAGAGGTATCAATACATCAAAATGACTAGTTTTGATATAAAAAGGTGGCCCAAAAGTAGGATACTAAACTTACACCGCTCAACTGTACATATACACTAATCTTTATTAGCCTAGATAATTAGTATACACATCGAATTTTTGAAAGAATTAAAAGTACAGATCAAAATAACGTGATTTATCAGTGTACGGGTCATATCAGTGTGCGGGTCATTTTCACCTCAATTCACTCTTTCAAACTTATATTATTCAACAACTATTGAATTAATTGATTAAAACTATAAAAATTATAATAATCTAGGATCTATTATATTATCTTGATAAGTTCTTACATTATATTCAGTCTTTCTGTATTTACTATAGTATTGATTAGAAGATACTTCTTCATTAGAATTCCTCCCTTTTTGACGCTCGTTATATTGAATCTGAATATCAACCTTTTATTGAAATAATATATCAAGAGCTTCTTGTCTACTAAGTACTCCTCCTTGATGTAATTGGGTTTTTTTCGTGCGTCGATGCTTGCTTAATGCCTCATTTGCTTTTCGAAGTGTACGAATCTCTACATTCAAAAGTGTATTCTTATAAGCTAATCTCTTTATACCTTTAACTAGAGTTAATATAATCTCAAATATAAGTATAGAGGAGTTTGATTGATATCAGGTTATTCGAGATTTCACTAAAATTGATTGAGAAAGAGCTTCAGTTGGGTTGTGAGGGGTTTGAAAGATTCATTGATCTAGATCGAAAAAGGGAGGAGTAGATATACGAATTCGAATATCTAACTTCGAAAGTACGGTTTCAGGGTTAAATGGTATTAAACCTGTTCTTCGAAATTCTGATATCATATTTTAAGAGATGATTGATTCTTTATATACAGCTTTAAAAGCTATAAAGAATTCAACCTTCGAAATATGATTGATATGTACTTTAATAAATCCATTAATTTGACCACCATATGAACGTTTCAGATTGCTAAAACAGCTCATATCAAGTGGTTGAGTTAAATGACTTGAATGTAATAATAGACTTAAGTATATAATATCGTTCTCTTTGTAATATACTTGAAAAGCTCTTGATTTATAACTTTTATATCTGTTTAGTACCAATATTCGATACCTGCCCTTTTTTTAGTTTTTAGTATATTTATCGAAGTATTTCAATTATTTTAAATTTATCTTATTATTTGTTCATTCATTAGATATAGGTTTAATAGTTTAATTTATAAAAAAATCGGTTTCAGTATACTAATTAGAAAGATGAACCTGTCCTTGAATCACTAGAAATGGGGGTATAGTTTTACCCTCCTTATTACCATATATGATTGCTATAGCCCATTCTCTATTGCCTGGTTGTATTGCCTTGCTTCTGCCATTCCGTTCAGCATTAGTTACTACCATTCCGGAGCATATTATACCCATCATAAAGCCCGTCTCATCAAAATTGTAAAAATCGCCATTTAAAATGCTGTATTTCGCTCGCATATTCACAACCAATTGAAACCACTTTTCAATAAGCTTAGAATCTTCACAGAAAGCTTTTTGAAAGTCATAAACACGATTAAAATGTATCTTTAATTCGATTCGATGTTTTACAAATCGATACACCCAAAGCTTCCCAATATACTTTACACCCCTCGATTCATATCTTCTACATTTCTTAATTTAAATGAAAATCCTCTCAAATCCATATCAATTATATATTCAGAAATAATATTCTCTTTTAGTTCTAAAAGATTATAAAATTTAGATCGATATTCGGAATAGAAAGTAATATTATTAATTCTATACTATAATGTTGTATTCGAGATATTATATATTTTTGCAACCTTTCGAATACTTGTTTTTTTGTCTTTTTGAATAACTTCAATAATGAGGAGTATACGGGCTTCTTGATTATTCGAATCCATTGTGGATTGTTGATAAAAATGCGTATTGAAAGAGAATAGAGTGAATTGAGGTGAAAATGACCCGCACACTGATATAACCCGCACACTGATAAATCACGTTATAGGAATAAACACTGACCAATTGTACATTGGAACTACTTCACAATCAAAAATATTACATGAAGTCGAAATTTGTACTTGCATCTCTTTTTTTTATTCAAAATTCAAGACATTTTCTCAACACCACGAAGCTCCGAAACTCCTCTCATCATTTTAGACTCTCTCTCCTCAATTCTATTTTTGCTTTTCTATATCCCATTTTCGTAGTATTCTTATCCTCGATGAAATACCAAGTATAATGAAAAGCTTTAGTTCACTAGAGATATTTCAACAAGTTGGAGTTCGAAGTTTATCAATTTTATGTTTCTGTTCTATAAGCTTGCTCGCTTCCTCACATATACGACCGAGATAGCAGGTCTTTTACCGAATCTTCATGTTATTGTATATTAAGCTACGAAGTACTTCTTTCTCATCTTGAGCAAAATTACAATCGCTAGTAAAGAGCGCACAATTTGCTGGTGCATTTTCCGACTGAATCAATCAGCATACACTAGTGGGGCATATCAGGAAGTGAACACCCCCTGAAAATGCACACTTACAACCCGAGAACTTTTAGCCTTACGATGATCGACACCTTAATGATCTTATTTTCGGTGGTGCTTACTCGTACTTGATGGGAAGAGAAAAGAACACCCATCAAAAGCAAACTCGGTATTTAGTAGCATGAGGAAGTCTGAAACTATGTAATGCATTATACCCATAACAAGCTAGTGCTAACACTCAGATTCGGTGAGTACCTGAAGCTACAAGTTCTTTCGAGTTGAAGATGTACTCTTATGGTTGGTGTTTTTGCAGATCTATGATAGGTCTGGATGCGACGAGCAAGCGGTGGATTTGGGTGGAGATGAGGAAGACTTCTTTCTTGGATATTTCTCCTTCGTAATTCAAATGTTTCTGAATGCCATGTACGATGGTGCGTTAAGTGGGCCATCAAACCAGTACATATCTACAGATTACAGTGGAAGATCAACATGAATTGCATACATTGAGACTAGAGGCTTTGGCAGCAGGTTTCCGTCTTTCGTCTTCAAGAAGGAATTCTTATTAGTACTACTGATATATTTAAGAGCTGTCCCTCACCACTTGCTTCGAGTACAAAGACAGACTTCTATCTCAAGAAAGATTAACCAACCAACAACTGTGCTTATTCAAAACCCCAAATTTTACCAAAATCTGCGCCTACTTCCACCCAGCTAAGCTGTATCGACCCCCGACTCTACAAACTATCTATACATAACCACGAAATTCACAGCCAAACGGAATCATCAACATGCGTTACCTAACTTCTGCCCTCGCAATTTTGTCATTTTTCCTTCTCGTGGGGTACAGTCAGGCGTTCGTTGGCCCCCACCTGTATGAGAATAAAAGAAGAACTTGGAGATAAGCTCCATACTGTAAACTCGGGATTCTCGAGCCACATTTGTGATAAAGGTTGCAAGCCAACCATTGCACATTATGATAAATGGGCGAAAAATAATGTGGTCATGCCGTTGATCGACAGGGTGATGAAGGAAATGGGGATACCACAGCATGCCCTTACTATAAAACGATTAGCCAATGCGGTTGCGAAGTCAGTCAAAAAGGAGTGCGCGCAGGCATTGGGCAAGAAACATCTCTGTGAGGATCCTAAGACACTCAACAATTTCGGACAATGTCTCAAGGCTCAGCTTCTGCCGGTCGTTATGAGTTATATTGGCGAACTAATGCCATTGGTAACAGAGCCGATGTGCAAGAAGGAGTTCTCTTACCTTCAGAAAAGTACCTTGTGGGAGCAATTGATACCTAGCTATTTCGATGCTTACGCTAAGGTCTGTACCAAGCTATGAACTGAAGAGAAGAGTAGAATGAGAATAGAGAAAGATGTATATTACGAAGCATAAGGCCTGAGGACCTTAGGTTCAGTTGCATTAGGCAATAGTAGAACCTCGGACAAGAATTGAATAGTATCAGATAGTATGCGATCTATTGCTAGGGAATAGTCCATTATAGCATGCTATTCAGTGCTATCCATAAGGGAACGAAGGTCTATATCCCTGTGGTGGCAGAATTTGTGGTTAACAAAGTGATCCTTTCGTAATTGCCATAAATTCTACAATACCTTTATTATATATTGAATAAATCGTTTTTAAAATATTAATATAATTAATTTAAAAATGTATACCTTACAAAGCTTATTCTAATTAATAGGATCTTAATAAAATTCTTCAATTTGAAAAGCTATTAAGTTTTAGCCTAAAGCAATTATTCTCAAATCAAAATATCTATTTATATTCAAATCAAATTATTCTTTTGTTTATTCAGTACATTCTATATTATGTAACATAGTAATAAAGCTTTTGATTAAAAAATAAATTGAAAGTGGATAGTAATCCTTTTCTTTAAACTTTCGGCTAATACCTTTCATCTATCTATTAGCTCTTATATTTATTCCTCCTTTTTTCTTCTTAATTTTAGTTTGTCTTTTTAATCTTTCTCTAATTCATATACTTACTCCCTTCTATTCATTTTTCTTACAATTCTAATATTCAAAAATCCTGAAAACTTTAAAGCCTTTCAAGGTTCTTATTTTCTTTTTTTTTATCAAAATTCAATAATAAATGGGTTTCAAAAAGAACCGATTTGATTTGTTAATAATGAAGAGCTTTATTCGTTATTGACGAATGAATATATCAATATTGTAATGTACGAAATAGAAATTTGTATAATGATTTATATTGAATTTCTCTTTGTCCGGAATATTAACTTTGCCACCACAGGGTATAAGTAGATAGCATTTCCTTAGTATAAGGAGCTTTGTGCTCAACTCAAATAGTAATTCATTATTTACTTATTATTGCTTTAATTCTTATACTGTTTAATTCTCTAACTATTATTCCAAGGATCTTCTTGGTAGTTATTATTGATAGTAACCCATTTTGACAAGGGAGTAAAATTCAGTCAAAAAATTATCATTTAATCATTACTCCTTTATACTTCAAGTTTGAACTTTTTAAAAATCGAATGTATTTCTTGATAATATTCGTATAATATCTATTCCTTAAATATTATTGTTGCGATACGAGTGAATATGCACACGTGAGTGCACTACCGCATTAACGCACTAGCGCGCGAACGTATTGCATATAAGCTCTCGTAGCTTTATATCTAGAAGAGAACACAATATATCAATCAAGGAAGTTATCTGTTACGGGAGCTGCCTCTAGGGTCACGTGGAAGTGTCTAGAGATCTCTCGAGGTGGTTTAGACTAGACTTCAAGTAGGAATTCAATAAGGTTGTAACTGGTTGCAATTCTCGTAACTATAGTAATGAAACTAATGATTGTTCTTGAGCACGAAGCTCTACATTATAATGAAACTCATTCCCTTATATAGATCTTCGTACCTCATGAATCGACAAGTCGATTACCGTAAAGCCGATTTCGACAAGTCGGTTTCCTGATCACGTGATGTCCATCCCGTGATCTATAATGATGCTACCGCTTATCTAACCTGTGCTCTCTAGCCGATTGTCCCTACAGCGCTGTTTCCGTAGGTCCCAACACCAAGGCCTTAGGTTTATCTTATAATCCATGTTGCGGTGCGGGTACCTCCGTAACATTATCAATTCTAAGTCTTTACTTGGAACCTATGTACAGCCTTGTATCACAATACTATAAGATTATAAAAAACAGACTAATAACGATTCGATAATTGCCTGGATATATTGGGATTTTTGATAATGATAAAACCGATCGGCTTGTTGATTTGAGTGCTCGGGGCGGTTGTATCGAAAACGATAATTCGTTATTTTCTATTATCAATAATATAAGCTTGATGGCTAGAATCTTAAAACAAATAATTGAATAAAGATAATAGAAATACAATGAGATTATTTTTATTAAACAATATTGATATTAGTATTTCAATTATCAAATCAAGAAACCAAAAGGATTTTCCTTTTTATACTTTATATTTTAACAATTAGTAGTAATAAGGATCGATTACGGAGATTTTGTATTTTATCATTGAATTTTCGTGCAAGTTTCGCGTCTATACCCTCTTTATTTCTATTGAGTACTTTACAATTTAGTACTATATAATATATGTTCTGTTACGGGAGCTGCCTCTAGGGTCACATGGAAGTGTCTAGAGATCTCTCGAGGTGGTTTAGACTAAACTTCAAGTAGGAATTCAATAAGGTTGTAACTGGTTGCAATTCTCGTAACTATAGTATGAAACTAATGATTGATCTTGAGCACGAAGCTCTACATTGTAATGAAACCCATTCCCTTATATAGACCTTCGTTCCTTGTTGTCCCATTGATCCCATCGTGTCCCACCAGGTGGGAGCAGTGGGATCCAGTGGGAATCTCTAATCCCGTGACTTTCTGATCAGGTGACTCGGTATGTTGGATGTCGTCGTAACACTATCCCCTTCCTAGCTTAGCGCTTGTCCCAAGCGTTCATAAAGTGAGTTTCCCCCACTTGATTAATTCCGTAGTGCCTTCCTTTCTGTTTGTTATGATGTCCGTTATTCGTTCTTCAAAATCTGTTGCTAGTCGTAAAAATATTTATTTTCGTTCTAAAGACAAAGGTGTCATTATGTCTTACAAGTGTAGTCGCTGTTTGGAGAAGAACCTTGAGTGTCGGGTGCTTCCAAATGCTGTGCGCTGTGGTGAATGTATAAAGAGTGTGGGCAGTGGTCGTTGTGATGTGTATGGCCACTCTGCGGGCGATTGGTCTCGTGTTAATTCTGAGGAAGAGCGTCTTGAGTTCGAGGAGGAGAAGGCTGCGAATGCTATGGCTGAAGCAGCTGCTCGGCTGGCTCCTGCGAAGGCAGAAGCGTGTTTTGCGGGAAAAGGCTGGCAAAATGCTTCAACATGACCTTCGTACTATTGAAGCTCTTGAAGAGTTTGAGGCTGAGGAACAGCGATTGGAAAATGAGCGTATTGAGAAGGAAAAGGAGTTGGCGTCTGTCTCTGCTGCTGGCCCTAGCGATGGTTCCTTTGTTTTCGACTCTTCTTCTTTGGACCCTTCGATCCTGGCTACAATGGATTCTCCTTCCTTCTGGGCAAATCCGGGTATTGCTGGTGGAACGCCTCCAACTTCTCAGGGCAGTTGAGGTTTGTTCTTGGTTCCCATGAATTTTCGGTGTGTGGATAATCTAACCATTTGATTAAATATTTGATTGTGCCTCTGACGTATTTACAATCTAGTATTGTTTCGACATCGTATATGGCGTTCGGGTTGACTGGTTCGATTTCCGTTAATGGCGCATTCGGCGCTCCTGGTGGTGCTGGTTCGAGCAAGGATATGTGGAATACTGGGTGGATGTTCATCGTGTCTGGTAGTTTTAACCGATAATTGACGGTTCCTATTACCTTATCAATCTTGAATGGTCCTAGTTTCCTGTGGTCGAGTTTATTGCTTGGTCTTTTGGTTTCAATGTTTCGTCGTAGCAAGTAAACTTTATCCCCCTCTTTAAGCGTAGGTTCCATACTACGTTTCGTATTGTAGTACGCTGCTGTTCTGGATGATATGAATCTTAGATCAAGAGCAAGCTGTTCTTGTAAATCTTTTAACTGTTCGACTTGTATTATTGCTGATTCGGCATTGACTTCTTGTGGTATCGGTGTTTGATATGCTTTAGGATTAAACCCAAAGTTAGCGCGTGCTGGTGTTATCTTTGTGGTTTCCGTTTCCGATGTGTTATATGCGAACTGTGTCATAGGTAATAGTTCTACCCAATTGTCTTGTCGATAATTTACATAGCATCTAAGATATGCTTCCATTGTCTGATTGGTCCTTTCTGTTTGACCGTCTGTCTGTGGGTGGAAAGCTGTCGACAGCTTTCTTTTAATACCCATTAGTGCTAATAGGGTAGTCCAGAATTTCGAGGTAAAGAGCTTGTCTCTGTCCGAGATTATCTCATCTGGTACTCCATGTATGCTTACTATGACCCTGAAGAATACATATGCTAGTTGTTCAGCAGTCCATGTTTCTTTGAATGGTATCATGTATGCGAATTTTGTTAATCTGTCTACTACGTTGAGTATTGCGTCGTACTCAATCGCCGTGGTAGGGTCCTTTGAGAGTGGTAGTTTGACCACAAAGTCCCATATAATGGACTTCCATGGCTGAGAAGGCATGTCTGGGGTCTGGAGCTGACCATACGGAGCGTGTCTAGAGGACTTATTCCGTATGCAGGTATCGCAATTTCCAACAACTTCTTCAACTATCGTTCTCATTCGTGGGAAGTAACTGATTTCCCGTAATCTTGCGAATGTTCTCGCGATTCCCTGATGTCCATGTGCCGGCAACCCGTGTTGTTCCGTCACGAATTCCTTAGTCATTCGACTAGGAATGTATACTTTTCCGTGGAAGTATATGATCTCGTTTTCTATCGTGAATCCTGGTTCTATTGTCTTGCGTATGCGTATAGCTGTAGCATCCTTGTCGTAATGTGATTGGATTTGACTCCTGAGATGGTTGTCTTCCAATATATGAGTAGCTGCAAGCTGTGGTGCATTGTAAACCAGTGATTCGCCTTCTTTCTTGAATATAGCGTACGATTCGTACGACTTATTTTCTTGATATTCTGGTTTTCGGCTAAGAGCGTCGGCTCTAGCGTTTTCTGATCCTTTGACATATGAAATCTTAAAATTGTAGTTGGCCATGGTTTCCGACCATCTGACCTGTCGTCTGTTTAACTGCTTCGTTGTGGTGAAGTAAACCAAGTTCTTATGATCCGTATACACCTGTACTGTGTATTTTGATCCTTCCAAATATACTCGCCATTCTCTAAATGCGTCGACTATCGCCAGTAATTCTTTGTCATATATTTCGT